ACGTGCACATTTTCCCACCCTCATGACAACCACCAGTTGACTGGAAACAGTGTTTTAGCAATGCTACATACTGTATGTCAAATCACATTTTCTGCATTATTAGAGGGGCAGGAAGGAAAAGAAGAAATAGTGCTAAGTAGTGCTATAATACAGCAAATATCCTCTAGCTCTCTCACATAAAACCACTGATGATACATTTGAAGTGGTCAATCTGCATGTGACAAGAAAGGATATCAATGTTTCTTTGTAAAAGAAAACCACCGAAGTTGAAAACAGGACACAATAAATTGATATACTTTGCCTGTGCTAAGAGACTGCTGCAGCTGATTTGAAAACACTTCCAATTTTTTTCAACCACGGCTTCAAATTACTAATTTTTCCAAAATTATTACAATTTCAACATTACCTTGTCATGGAATGTAGATTTTTCCCTTTATACTACTTCAAGAACTCTCATACGGGCTGGCTAAAACTACTGCTGATACAGTTAACAAATACATATATTTTCCACCTTGAAAATCACTAACATAAACTATCTCTGCAGGTTACATCAATCTTTGAAAATTAGACAATATCAGCATATCCTAGTGTGGCTCACCATCTAAAATGGGAGGGGGGGGCAAATTTCTCAGTTTGGAGCCACAGCTTGCATCAACCCCTCTATTATGGGCCAGATAAACGGGTGGGCCATTGTTTTAAAAACCTTTTCATTGAGGTGCTAGATTTTTTCATGGCTGTAAAAATCTATTGTATCAGTCAACTTTTAAAAAATGTGACACAATGGAACACGGCTACATCAAAGAGTTAACTTTATTTTGAGGCTTTAAAAAAACGAAAAGGGAGGTCAGTGCACTATAAAGGGTCTTTACAGAAAGACTAACAGACTTTATTGATAACATGGAAGAGAGGGGAAATACTACTTTAATGTGTTTTAGTTAAGCATCAACATAATTAGCAACTTGTTAAGAACATTTTTAGTGAACATGTAAGCTTCTGTCCCTATTCCCTTTCTGTGACAAGAAAAGAATGATGTCCCATCTAAGTCTATTGTGAGCCAAAAGAACAATCAGTATTTATAATTTACTCTTATAAATACTAAATTTACTTCACTTTGCCTTCTGTTCTTGGGAAGATTATTTGGTCATGGTGAGATCAGAAGTGCATGTAGTAATCCTGTAAGGCATGTATATGCTCTTAAAGTTCCCCAATAACTACTAACACATCCTCTTAAATCTAAAGAGGGGTCTACTGACACATAGTCCCTTAAACTTCTGGGTTAATATAGTGCTGTACTGCAGACTTTATAAGTAGCTGTGCTGGCTGTGGAGGATCAGAGATGAAGCCTGACACATCTAAAGAGCATGAATTTGGGAACAGCTGTCCTATAACAAGTACCAAATCATTCTGAGATGTAAATTCAGGTCCAAGGCTTTCTATATTGCAAGTAGAATTGTCACCATTCCTTCTTTTGCTGGAAAAAAAAAAAATCCTAGCAATTATTTCATTCTTCAGTAAAAAGAAAAGTTGGTGGGGCAAGAGCTCACCAATGTATTCCCTAACGAGAAGTACAGGGAGAGTATCTGATAACTGGACTGTAATCCACAGAAAGGTACGTGATATGTTAATCATTCAGATGCCACAATGTATTGCTGTTTTTGCCTTAATTGTTCTGCTGCTACTAGTGGATTTAAATGAACAATGGCAGCAGGGGGAGGATTGGCCCACTCATTCCTTGGTTTGCTGGCTTGTCTGTTTTGCAAAGAAACAGAGAGAAATGTGATTAACTGCATTTAACGTATTGTCTACTAAAGGAGCACCTTGCTGGTACACAGGCTTTTGGACTGACTACTCTAATGACCCATCAGCAATTGCTGAGCCACAAATCCCAGTATTTATCTTCAAGCCATACTGGGCTGGTAGCTCTGCAGCACTTGGAGGGCTACAAAGTACTCTTTCTAGAACTCTGCTGTCTTCATTTGGGTGGGAATTCAAGAAAAATGTGGCATGGCTACAGGAGCAGTTTTGTTGATACTTGTTCATTTTAATTGTCTTTAGAAGCTGCATGAGAATAAGACAGTTGACTTGTATACCTATTCTATGATATATATACAGATATACATACACATATACATACATACACACGTATACATGGATATATGTATATATAAAAATAAAAGAAGTAGGATTAGGTGACCTTTCTGGTCCCTTCCAACCTTACAGTTCTATGGTCCTATGGTCCTATTAATGCATAGCATTAAGACTTAAATCTAAATTGATGATAGTAACAAATAGTTGAAAAAATGGGCAACAGCTGAATTAAGGGGCCAGATCAAATGTAGACAAACCTTTGGTGACTGAGGGTTACCTTTAACATTTTGAGGAGGGCCAGGGACCACAATGGGCAAAACAATGATGTGAAGTAGTTGGAACCACAACTTGTAGATAGGAAGGGTCAAGATTTTCTATCTGTCCCCACCACCACCACCAATGATTTTGCACCAGTTTTAGGGTGTTTCTTGCCTCTTAATGGTGAGAAACTGCATTGATTTTCATTAGTTACAGCTGGAAGGAGCTCAGCCCCAGGCTAGATACTGTTTTCTTGAAGCATAATTACCAATTTCTTCTGCCAAGCAAGCAGCAATGCCTTGACCATTCCGCCTGGTTCAGCAGGCCAGACAGAATGATAATGGGCAAGATGGAACCTGGGGATCATCAGTTATCTCTCTATATGGGATGAAAAAAGCTACAATTAGAATCTAATTACTGACCTTATTCAGACATATGATGTCTGAAGGAAATTTAAATTTGTGATCAGCTTCTACACTAGAGGAAAAATCTTGATGAACTTTCTTTCTTGGAGATGTTCTTGCTTACACTACAGAACAGAAAGAGACTAGTATACTGAATATAAATACAGCCAGGCAGGTTGTCTGACCTTATATTTATACAGACATTGTTAATGACTGAATGGGCCAGTCAGGCAGTTAATCTTTCAGTCAATGACCAGCATAAAACAGAGGCAGGACTTGATGGAATAATCATATCATTGAGGTCACTGCTCCATTCCAGCTGCCATCCCAATTATTTCTATGAAAAATTCATATCAATTTTCTTTAATTCTGGAGTGATTAAGTCTCACAATACCTACTGGCCTTTGCCTTTTAAGTAATCTCAGTAAAAGGTAGCTGGAAACCTGGGCTGCAGTCAGCTATCTAGGTTCATTTTGTTCAATGGAAGAGAGCCAGAACCTTCTGTTGAAAAATAAACTGAATATTATTTTCTGAAGGGATGTACACAAAAAGTGATATTTATATTAGGTCATAAGCTTTAGAAAAGCTGTATGCCCCCCCCCCCCCCGTTTGCAAGGCAGTTGTTTTACCTGTTTCAAGCAATCTGGAGAAAAGAGATCTATCACTGCAAACACTTCCCTTTGCATTCACATAAACTACTTTTTGGAGAAGCAATTCTCAGAGAAGACCAGGATTAAAAGAAGGTAGAAGGCATCCATTGATCTCATTGCTTGCTGGGCTATCCCAATGGACACAGAATCCATCCATGTTCTGTTCTTAAGGATAATGCACTGGAGGATATAATCTGTTCACTTTTCTTTGGAAATCATTGAGATTGTATTTGTTGAGAATGCTTTTACATTTTACATTTTGTACATACAGAGAATACAACAGAGAATCACCAGTCACTAGACAGCAAGTGACTTCAAAGTGGTATTTTGACTCAAACTACAAATAGGCTTAGAAAAGATTCCAGCTTGACAATGTAATTGTCAATGTAATTCCCTACATCCATTATATTATCCAGTCTTTTGTCTAACTATATTGTATCTGGGGAAGAAAGAAACATGGGAAGGAGGACGAAGAAGGCTAGAGTCATAAAGCAAGGCAGAGCAAAATTATGTGAAATTTCAACACATAAACTTGGTTCCTATAAAGACTTATGTTTAACCTTAGGTAATGGTAACAATGATATATACTCTTTTCCAGCCGATTTCCAACAACCTGGATTTTTGCAGGCTCTTCCCAACTGCAAATTATATCAAATTGCACTTGAGGCTACAAAGTTAATAGTTTATCATACTTAACTGAGCCAAGCATATATTGATCCTAAGAGCCATTAATGGTATTTTACCAAATGATTATTACAGCTAGTATTTCTTTATGATAGTTGCAGACTTATACATTTTTAATGACTGCCATTCATCCCTTGCAATAAATGGAATCATCCCCTGTACTTACTAGTGAGTTCTACTTAAAAACTGGCTCTAGTGAATTGTATCTTGATTTGTATGTCCCATTGTTCCACTTCCTGAGCCACATAGCGCTTCTAGAGCCACACACAGACGTCCAATTTGCAGATATTCTGGATAAATTCTTAAGAACTACTTTACGTAAAGTACCAATAAGTGGAAAAGCCCCACAGCAAAAGTATTATTTCCTCTTGTTCTCTGTCTATGGTATATTGTATATAGTCACTTACATGTATTTAAAAATTGATTTTGACTTTGGAGTCTATTGCACTCTATTGCAGAATTGTAATTCAGATCTATCGAAAACTTCTAAAAAAATCTGCAGCCACTCATCTAGCAGCCCTGTGAAATCCTCTTTCCTATAGGCAGTGCATTTAACTCAATTATCAGCAACCTTGACACTTTACCAACAAAAATTATACATATAAAGTGAACTTAACCTTTCCCTATTTGGAGTGCCTTTTAGACTTGAATAGCATATTCTTTCCTGTTAACGGTCAAGTGCCTTAAAAAAATAAACAGGCATAAAGATGATAATCTGTGCCTTGTGTAGTTCTGCAAGACCACAAGTCCTTACGGTAGGAGGAGAGACTCAGCATCTAGTCTCAAGGTTTCTTAGCCTTAGCAAGGTACCTGCCTTGTCTTGAAAGCAGTGTGCAATTTTATCTGCTGAGCTCCATGAGCTAAAGTAAAAGCCTGGCCTTTCAGTAGCAGCACCTGAGCAAAAACTACATTGGTCTCAAAGATTATTGTTTTGGTCATCTTCTTCCTCGTTGTCTTTGGTTTGTGCCAGCGTCAAGTTCTCCTGAATTTTGTTATGTTGTTGCCGTGCCCTAAAATGTATGTAAGAGAAACCAAAGTCCATGATCAGGTAGCAATAAGGCCCAGCAATCCCTGAGAAGTTTACCATCTGCATTTTTTGTTTGTTTGTTTGTTGCTGCCTTCGAGTTAGTCTTGACTCCTGGACTAATTCCTGCAGTTTTCTTGGTAGGATTTCAGAAGTGGTTGCCCTTGCCTTCTTCTTCCTAGGGCTGAGGGAGAGAGACTGGCCCCAGGTCACCCAGCTGGCTTTGTGCCTAAGGCAGGACTAGACTCATAGTCTCCCGTTTTCTAGCCCAGTGCCCTAATCAGTACACCAAACTGGCTCTCACCATCTACATTAGCCAAGATACAATCAGCTTCTCTTTTCAGACTCACTATTATTCCAGTTACAAAGGCTATATACCATCAATTTCAAGTACCTATTGCTTGTTATAAGTCTCCCATTAATTGAATTTCTTAAGCCCACCAACCAGTAGGCAAAGGTCCAGCCCATAACAGTCTATAGCTTCCATACACTGTGCAATCAAAATTTCACTATGCTAGAAAGTGGGTAAAAAGAGCAGGAATAATAAAACAACAATAACCACACAATTTGTTGCTGGTTATGCTATGTTTATAGTAGAGTGGTCCAAGAAAGTCAAGAAATGGGATCATATTGACAGAAATATCTACTGTTGTTCAATCTGCCCTTGTTATTGCCAAGCTTGTCTTTTCTCCTAACTACAGCAGGTACAATTTATTTCTGGAAGGAGAGGAAGGTAAGGAAAAAAAAAAGAAAAGAAATAACCTATTTCAGTCGTTACATATTTGTTGCCAGAAAATATTCAAAATTTAAATTCAGTGGGATTGCCTACTTCAGTGAAATAATCAATTAATTTGAGCAACAGCCAAATGAAAGTGTACAACAATGCCAGACTTCCAGTGCTTTTCTATGGATTTCATGCCAAAATCACTACCTAATTATCTGAGGAGCAGTAATCAGACTTCTTTAGATCTAAGTCATCTTATTGACCCATGCATGCGCTAAGCTAAAGTTTACATTTTCAGGTCAATACTTACTTTTCTCTGTTGAAAATTATGAAGTCCCTTTGTATTGACTCCAGGTTTTTCTGCAGCTGGCAGGTCTTACATTGAGAAAGAGAAAAGATCAGTTAATGAGAATTCATCATTGTAGTATTTGATGCAAAAAGGCATTAAACTTATCAAGATAGACATTTCAGAGGGATTCAAACAATTGATCCATACATTATTAGCTGACTCTGTTGAGCATATCTCCTAACAGAATCTAAATTCAGCTAAGAACCTGGATCAAATGCATCAAATTTGATCAAACATTATTTCTAGATTATTTTCTTCAGTACTTGACAATCCAATTTTTAGCATCCAACCTAATCTCTTCAGATATTGGTTTATCTGAACCAGAGAGCTCTAGCAGTAATAGACTAAGGCATAATGCCCTTCCTCAGCACATATCCAATGTATCTTGCTTTGTGAAATTAACTGACTAAGTAGCAGTGATAATGAAAATAGTTATCTTGGGAGTAGCTAGAGTCATTGCCTATGGCCACTGATTCTCATTCTTTCCTTCTTAACCTCTAATTTTTCTGGCTTTATTTGCATCCTGTATTGGGGGGGAGGGGGAGAAAGGAGTCTGTATTGGGGGAGGGGGAGAAAGGAATCTGAAACAAGAAAGCTCTACTTCTTGATTTCTTTCTTTCCCACAAAAAAGGATAATGTACTTTCCATGATTTGCTATAGTTCTCAGCCCAGCTCCACAAAGCTAGGGACCACCAAAATAATGAACCTAGAAAAGGTGATGGTTGCCAAGATCACTATACAGTCATTCTTTCTTATTATCTATATTTTCCCCAGAGTTCTTCTATCCCCTCTGAGAAAATCATATATGTCTTAAAGGATCATTTGCTGTAACAACCTTGATGTAAGGTACTGCTCATGGAATTTAAAATAAAACTGAATCAAAAGATCTAAAAGTTATGAATCAAAAGATCTAAAAGCTATGGATCATTCCCCAATTTTCCAAAAGTTTCAAAACGTGGTTTTATATATACCAAAAAAAAAAAATTAATGTAATTATACTGTATCACCCACTGCATCATTTAAATGCAAAGAATGAGAAAGCACAGAGGGTTACAGACTGCATATTTTGGCTGCTGTCCTACTCATTTGAGGCACTGCCATTAAAGTCAGTGTGATTTAGATCTGAGTCTTCTGTCTTTTAGGATCAATATGCCTAATGAAACTGGAAGACATTAAAATGCCGGCATCCTTAAATCAGCCAAACATCCACTGGCCAGTTTGGCCATCCAACTCTCTGTGCCTCACCTCTGAGGAATCATTTTTGCTGCTTTCCTTCTCCTTCTTAGCCAGGCGCTTCTTCTTTTTATGAAGTGGTTTGGATTCTAGGATCATTTCCTCAAGTTCAAAGGTTGGGTCACAGTTTAATTTCCCTTTCTAGGGAGAAAGACACAGAGAGAGAAATTGTTACCAAAAAAAAGGAGAAAGAAATAAAAGAAATTTGCATGGACAAGGGTCTTCAATCACACCATAAAAGTGAGCCAATACAGATTTCCCCCCAAAATTAAAATTATTAGAAGAAACTCTCTGGCATTTAAAAATTGATTAACATGAAGGAGAGCTAGAACTGGGCAGCTAGCATAAAAGCTTTTAACTCCATGTATACAAAGTCCCACACACTCCAGTAAGGAGGGCACACTTCAGGTCCCCTCATCGAGCGAGAGCCACCTAATGGGACCTCAAAGGCATGTCTTCTGGTGGCAGCTCCTGATTTTTTTAACAATCAGCTCCCCAATATATGGCTGGCCCCAACCCTGCAGGCCTGGAGTCTCAACTGATTGAGTTGCCGTATATTTTAGTCTGGTTGCCATTTTATTGTTTTAGTTGGTTTTTAATGTATTGTGTTGCTTTGGGGAGGGGGGACGCATTTATTGTTGATTTTTGTACACCACCCAGAGTCAGTCTGTTTGTTGAGCAGCCATGATGTTATAAATAAATGAATAAATAAACCAACTAACTTTTGTGCCATTTTGATTGAACTTAATCAAGTTACTAATTATTGATTTTGAATCTCAAAAAGTTTATGTTTCTCTTAAGAAGTTTCTCTGTTGGTGTATGAAATCTGCACAAGGATAGTTCACTGCTTTTTATATTAAGAAACATATTAGAGAGTGTCACTATCATTATAACCCTGGTTTTTAGATTAAGAAAACATTCAGAATAAAATTCTTACATTAGGGAGAAATCCAGGCAATATTCTCTTCTGTAGGACAGCATCCCAGTTGATATCAGCCAAATAAGGGAACTCCTGGATATGACTCAGTTGAGAAAATCTCTCCTCTGAATTTATTTCCAGCAACTAGAAATGAGAATAAAAGTAATTTATTTAAAAAATCAGAATAGATAGAATATAATTGCAGACTGAATACAGAAAAGGATGATACGTGCATCCTTGTCTATCTAAAACAGAATAGGAAACCTCCAGCCCATGGACTTTTACAGTTCAAGATGATTTTCCATGCAGCCCATAAGTTGTTCATGAAGATCCTGCTCTGACCTCCTCTCCACAGCAGATTCTGAGCTCCTATCGAACACCTCCAAACCCTTTAAATTATTACAGCCATTATTGTTGTTTCAGACAGAAATATTTGGAGAAATAAACTAACTGAAGGAGGATCAAGCACGAGTGGCCCAATGCAGCGTAAGGCAGTTTCCCAAGTTCCTAAAACGCTTGATGTGCTTGCATTTTAGGTTTCCCCCATCCCTAAAAAGGGAGCTAATCAAGTGCAGTGGGTGACCGTGCATGGAACTATTCCATGTTGTAATATAACATCACACCAGGTGTTATAATACATTCCATGGAGGAAGAACATAAGATGACACATGTAGCTTCCACTTTTAGCAGAAGCTAAGTATCTCCAGCAATGTCTTATTCCTGGTGGAATGAGCTCCCATTCAGCCAAAAGGCTTGAAGGCTCAGCATCTTAACCAATGTCCTTTTCTTAGAGTTCAATTGTCTCTAAAGCTCACTCACTTTTTTAATCAGCGACACCATATCCTTTGACCAAGCAGCAGGATACATAATGGTGGCCGTCTTGTACACATGGGCAATTTCATTTGCAGCATTACTAGAGCGAATATGGTATGGTCTCTGCAAGGAGAGAAGAAGGTAAAGACACTGTTTGAACTACAATCCTAATCCAGCAAGAAGAAAATAATGAATTATCTCTTTCAGTTAGGTTTTTGTTTTTAGAGGAAAAAAGTCTCACTGTACTGTAATGGGCTGACAACTTCTCCCAGGGCCTTCACTCTTCCTCTTCCTCTTCCTCAGGGTCCACTAATGTTCTCAGTTAAATCACTGCATTATGGACCCTGGGGAGTTTTTTTTGAAGTGAACGGATCAATACAGGAGAGGGCAGTGAAGTTACACTTAAAAAGCAACATGTAAGCCGTGGCAAGAGATCAAGGATTTTCCCTGGCATCTAATTGGTGTTTCGCTCAATGCAACCTGAGTTCAAGGAAAATCACTTTACTGTGTATGTGAGAGAGAGAGAGAGAGAGAGAGAGAGAGAGAGAGAGGTACACACAGACATGCATGCAGAAATACTTAAAAATTGTATTCATTTTTTTTTCTGAACCAAAATATACTCTCTTTTGAAATAAGACAAAACAGAAGGTAGAAACTGACACAGTTTTAAACATGTTCTTAAAATGTTTTTTAATAAATCCTCAGGGTATAATGAAAGGTCTCTCAGCATAAAAAGGTGATCAATTAAATTAAGTACCATATTACCACAGCATGCTTGCAATAGTGTGGCTAATTCATTCAACTCTGAAAAAGAAAATTAAACAACAGAAGACCATTTCCAGCCTGCTCTTGCACTGCCAGTGTACTGAAGAACAGCACAAATGGTACAAGCAATGAGAATTTGTGCAAACAGCAAGACAGACTGCAACCCTGGGAGCTACAAGTCCAGCTAGCAGGTTTGCCTATGCCCAGCTTAGAAATTAGAAGCAAAACCCTTTAGCCATCCTTGAGCTTCAAATGTTTTGTAAAGAGCAACCCTGTCAAATTCTAGACTCAACTTGCTATCTGCAGTCACCATTGCAACTGAATGACAGGTGGCGATGAAAAAAAATGTGTCACGGACTTGGGGGAAAATAGATACGTGATTATTTCAGAATCATAAGCACCTTCCATTCCCAGCATTCCAAGGTGCACCTTGGCACCCCCTCTCTACAGAGAAGCCCTGGGCACAGCTTCTCACTTCAGTGCATCTGACAACCTTGGAATGTCCGTTATACGCAAGCTTTTGAATTGCAATTTTTACAGTAACCGGGGTTTTGCATTTCAGCTAACAACTTTATCAAGAAGCTATTTAATATTAGCTATGTGTGACAGAAAACAACCTGATAAATGTAGAATTCTATTAAGAAAAACAGGTCCCAATGCAATGGGAAGAAGAGAGAAACAGGAAGATTTGAACACCACTCATCTAGGCACAAATTTTGTCATGCTAAACTTTGGTGTAATTTGCTTTATGTGTACACAGAACAACAACAAAGACTATAGAAAATACAAGGTACCGTATATTTGAGAAAACCGTTTGCTTTTACAGCTTAATCTTTTTTTTAAAAAAAAGTTACCTTAAATATATAACTTTTTGGACGATCATTTAGTTTCATTTGAAAACCAAGCAACTACTTAAGATGTAATTATAAAAGAAATTAGTTATTTTTCCTCTGCATGAGATGTAACTGGCATTAACAGAATTATTAATACTCCCTACAACATTAAAACAAAACAAACGTGATGTGTGGTGGAAGTTTTCACTACCTCCAGTAATCAAACTGAATACAGACAAGCAATGTCATGCTAACTTGGAATTGTCCCAAAAATTGGCACAAATATTCTTGAGTAGGACGTTATAAATGTGATACCATATTATCCATAAGATAAAGAACAAAACAAATAGGAACTTGAGTATTTCCAATATAATAGACTTTCTACTTTATTCAAATATTGGATAAAATGCCTACTCTCTTCTATACAATCCACCACAAACTTTGCAAATATGTTATGATCCAATGAACCAGTAAGGCATGATGCAGCATGAAATGTGTTGGGTCACTAATTCACACACAGCAGTCCACTTCTTCCCCCAACCATATGATTGTTCTGTAATTATGAAAGGTCTTTTTAAGTATAGTTGCATTTTGTCCCTTTCACTAATTCACACACAGCAGTCCACTTCTTCCCCCAACCATATGATTGTTCTGTAATTATGAAAGGTCTTTTTAAGTATAGTTGCATTTTGTCCCTTGCAATTCTTGAATTGCTGATATTTTTATGACAACTTTTACAGTAGAAATTAACATTTACCACTAAACTGATTTCCTTATTTAAGCAGAACAGCTTCTCTTTAGAATTTTAATGACTCTATTGTACAGTGGATGCAAATCTGGAGAGACAATGCTTCTGAATAGTCTGAACATGGTGAAATGATGGATGGATGGACCAAATAGATATATATATAGACATATATAAACTGTACAGTACCCGGCCTCTGAGGAGTTCATAGGCTGTAATTCCTAGTGACCACCAATCAACAGCATAGGAATAACCAATAGGTTTTGTAGAACTAAACATCTCAGGTGCTGCAAAAAAGATAAATGTAAGGTTTGCCTTCAGGTGGAATATTCAGCAAGATGGTTGACTTTTCTTTCTCTAGTATAATACAAGCTCTCATAACAAGTTCTCTCTAGCCTTATGCAATGAACAACTCAAGAACATCTTCAGTTGCTGGGGAATAAAAGTCAGTGTGTACTATTTCATTTATGTCCTTGTTGACTTCCCTGAGGTATCTGGTGATCAAGTGTGAGAAGAGAATGCTGGGGTGGATAAATTTTGGTCAGATCCAGGATGCCTCTTTCTTATCTGTGAATTATTACAAAGTAAGGAGAAATATTTGTCCCTTTTGCCTCCTTTTTCAGTTGATTTTAATCTGGACCATTGTGCTGCTAACTCCTTAATCGGAATCATACTGTTCTATTAATTCAGAATTTCTGATTTGGAGGAGATCCAGTCAGACCTAGGGCAAACTTGCAACTTCCACTAATTAAAAGAGAAAGTTTACTTTGTCTTACTAAAACTACAAAAAAGAACAAAAGAGCCAAAAAACTTTTCCTAAGTTTTTCAAAAAGCATAGCTGTGCACAACATACTTTGTGCTGTTGAACTCATTGCTCTTACTCTCTCAGGTCCTGCATAAAGCTTTTCACACCTCTTTCTCACAATCTCCAGGTTACATTTTGACTAACTCATTGACGCAGCTGGCTATTTTATAAATAAACAAAAGCATGAAAATGGTCCTCTTTACTTCTGCTGTTGTGGAAGAACACATTTTTGCACCTGCTGAACAAGTACAAGCGTAAGAACATGAAGACTGAACATAATTCAAGTCATCTGAAACATTCCTTCATATTTTAAATGATTATTACTTTGGAGAAGATATTAATTCCACTGTCTAACCCACTGAAATGTTCCAACACACTTTAAAGTGGAACATAATAAATACAGAACAAATGGAACGGGGCAGACAATTGACACTGACTGTATGTATTTTTAGTACATACAAGGTTAGATACCATCACTGCCCTCCCCCCCCCGCCCCATTGCTGGCAAGTGTATTAAGTAGAAAATAGCTGCAATTAACACCTTTTTGATTCTAAGAATATGTGGTGAATTGGTTATAATCTTCAGTAACTAATGAGGAGAGGGGAATTGATAGTGATTTGAAAGGAAGCATCAATAAATCCAAATAGTATCAGTGTGATATGCAATCAACTATACAACCCATTTAGTATAATTTGGAATGAATGTCAAAACGTGAGATTTGAGCCCCATGTGTGCCTTTACCATTTATGTGGGATGAGTGATCCAACTGTGACTCATATGGAGAAACCCAAGAACTCTATCTACAATTTTGGATTAAATTTGTAGGATTTCGTATATGTAAGCTGAGATCAGATCGGTCATCCATGCAAGGACCATTAAGGCTGGCAGAACTAAAGCCAATCTAATGCAAGCATGTGTAAGGCCAGATCAGCTTTGAAGTATCTTGAGGCCAACTGTCTCTTAAAACTGGGTTAATATCAGCTAAGGAAGATGCTTAAAATGTGCATAAAAAGCAAATACATGTTATACAAGTAAGCTGGATCCATTTTTGATTACTCACCCATATATGGTTTCGTGCCAGCAATGCTAGTAACCTGCATATCTTTATTTAGCACTGTAGCAATATTGAAATCTGTAACATGCACGTGTCCTAAGAAAGAAATAAAAAGATAAATTATCAACAGAGTGCTTCACTTCTATTTAATGTTCCATTCTGATGTGGCAAGTCATTCTACCATATGTAATTATAACAGCAGAGGGAAGCAAGAAATTTTATGTGGCACATGTACCATATTCCAAACATTGAATAAGTGGCCCTCTCTTTCTTTAAAGTTTTCTCATAAAACATCTATAAATGGGACCAATCTAGTAACATGCTGCACATGCAAACCCTTTAGAGAAAATATAAGGAAGGCAGATGCCAGAAGGAAAAGGACATAGGACATCCTTACGCTTTCAGGTCACCCACAATACCCACACTAATCAACCAGTATTAACCATTATACCAGGCCATATTTTTGACAGCCACGTGAAACAGTTTGAGAATATTGGCCTGCTCGTATCTGAGGAGCTGGCCAGGTATGGGATGATATATTAACTGCTGGGAGGGGGTCCAGCCAGTATCATTGGTGCAAAGCAATTTCAACTTTTTTTTCAGTACAAGAAATTCTGAAAATTAAACTTCCGTGAAAGTATAAAAACTCCTAGTGACAGTCCCAAACCAATATTCCATTATTCTTTCAGGAAACCTTAGGAGTTAAAAATGATTTAATTTTATACTAATACAATTTCCCACAAAGATTCTAAAAGATCGTTTTTGTTTATTACTTACTTTATATATGAATGTTCTAAGTATAACCTAACTTTCCCTAATCCGGCTCTCTTCAGCTATATCGGACTGCAACTCCAAACATCCCAAGGCCTTTGCTACCGATGATCTCCAACAGCTGATATTTAAGATATGCTGCCTGTGATTCCAAAGGTAGCAAAGAAGACTAGTTGTTACTGGAAGGTTCTAGCCCCACTCAGCCAGAAAATCTCAAGCAAGAACTGCACATCTTTAATGCTAGGCTGAGGGTAACTACAGAATCTTAAGAGGAATTCCCCCCTTTCATTAAGGTGGAGCCTCTCCGAATGATTTGAAACGCTTCTTCTCAAGTTTCTTGCCTCCTGGGCTCAGTTGCCATTAATGACATAAGCTGCCAATGGATTTGCCTTCCATGAGGATGGAATGAAGAAATTACAAATAAGAATTTGGTGATGGTGCCTTTGGGCCTAGTGCTGTTTGCTAAGCAGAAAGAATCACCCTTCTAACACTTTTCTTATAAAAACTACAGCAAAACACAAAGGCTTGGAGGTTCTTCTCAATTTACCTAGCACAGCGGTTCTCAAACATTTTGGTCTCAGGACCCCTTTACATTCTCAAACATTTTGGTCTCAGGACCCCTTTACATTCTCAAACATTTTGGTCTCAGGACCCCTTTACATTCTCAAACATTTTGGTCTCAGGACCCCTTTACATTCTTAAAAATGATTGAGGACCCCAAACAGCTTTGGTATATGTGGATTATATCTATCAATATCTACTGTATTAGTAATTAAAGCTGAGACATTTTAAAATATTTATTTATTGGACTTCATGGACCCCCTGAAAGGGACTCTGGGACCCCCAGGGGACCCAGACCACACTTTTAGAACCACTGATCCGGCATAAAGTTTATCCATCAAGTTTATATTGTACACAAAAACTGGAGAAAGGAGTGCTATGTATACTTGAAGCTCCTGGAGGAAAGGCAAGATATAAATATAAGAAATAAATTAAAACAAAGCTCACCCAGCATCAGTCTCAGGAGAAAATTGACTATCAAGTCCTCACTCTGCTGTTGATAGGGCACAATATAAACCTGTTTAAGTGTTTATACTGTGATGATATATACAGAGAAGAAACTTTTCTGTGCACATCACATTGGCAGATTCTCATGAAACTAAGCTGTTCAGAGTTGTGAAAGAATAACTCTATCTCTAAATTCAGGAAATGAAATCTAGATAGCTTGCTACAATAACTTCAATGAGTTCTTTGCCCAAAATATAATTCAAACGCAAGCTCTGGATGCTCTTTTGGACCTTGAGTCACAAGTGGAGATATTTAGCCTTTTCTTGTATGTAATTAAACCACATCAGTGATGATTCCTGAAGATATAGATTGGATAGTGAGGTCTGCCAGCTGTCTTAATAGCAATTTAATAATTTTATTTTAATTTTACTATGCTTGAATTTTGTAGCTAACAAGACTTTGGTAGTGACTACCTTAGAAATCTAATAAATAACATCACATAAACTTAGCAAAACTATAGAAAATTGTGCTAGAGCTTGAAATATCATCCCCTAAGGACGGAAAGCCACTGGAAAACAAGCACAGTCTTAGCAGTCTAAATATAGTTACTCAGGCTGCAAAAACAATGGCTCAGGGGGAAAAATTGAACAATAGGTAAAAGGCTTTTTGCACACATGAATGGAATTACACACCTCTCTTGCCATGGTTGGTGAAACACAGAGAAATTACAAAGAGAAACTAGTCAGAATGACCTCAGTTTCAAGGACAAACAGAGAAAAGACAATTCCAAATAAATTCTAAAATCACCAGCTAAAATGCACTGAATTGAAAACCTTTGCAAAAACTTTTTCAGAAGAACCTGAATTCTTTTCAAGGGAAAAATATATTCATATTTCATCACCATATTGCGTAGAACTAAGTCTGTTATCCAGTACACATTACTTGGAACTAAGTTCCACTGAACTTACTAAATTACTAACACATATTGGATTGGCCTCATTAAGCTTCCAAGCACCCGTGAGGGCAAAAACAGAATAACAAAAGACAAAACACATAACACTGTCTTTCCTTATTATCTCATATTGCATAATGTTACATTATCTTTGGTTTAAAACATGAGCCAGAGTGTCCCACCACAATAATAATAATAATAATAATAATAATAATTATTATTATTATTATTATTATTATTATT